TCCTGTGGCTAACGGGTCAGCTTAGTGGGTTCATGCCCTTTTGGAAGTACTTCTAACCTCAGGCATTTAGAAATCACAAATTCACTCTCAGATTCATGAGACTGCAGGAAAAACATGCTTTTTTTTTTTTTTAATTGAGCAATTAAAATAGCTTAATTAGGATTTTGGCCCTGGTCCTTTTGAGTTTCATAGCTTTGGAAAATCGTTTTTCTTGCTGTAAGGTCTTGACCCTCTTTGCCCCCAGTAAAACCTGTATTTGTCACAATTGTACAAATGAAGAACTGGCACTTTGGAAAAAAAAAAAAAAAAAGTAAGCCAAGATTTGCAGTAAGAGCTCAGATATGGAAATGTTGGTTTTGTTATTGTGTAAGTTTGTTATTCACTTCTGGTTTTTTTTGCCCCCTCACCTGTTATGCATGCCTGTGTATGTTGTAACATATCTGCTGAGAATGAGTGGGAGGGAGCTGAAGGGAATTCTGATCTGTGAATTAGTGCACAAGGGGCCAGCAGAAAGGACTGCAGGGAAAAAAAATGATGAATTGGAGGCTACAAAAGGCTGAACTAGAGCAAAGCCATAGGTTTGTTTCATACAACTTCTGTAGCATTCAAGAGGCTACAGTTTGCATGTTAGTTATTTGTGCTCTTTCACGTGGGTAAGAAGGCCTTTGGGAATACTGGGCACGATCTACCAAGAATTTTTCATCATGTGATGCATGAATTTAGATAGAGAATATCCCCTGAATGGGGCGGATGTTCAGATAAGTCTTTCAATGTACTTTGTATTGCCTCTGTGATTGGCCCACAGCGTAGAAACGCTTAGGTCTTGTCACTATGGCTCTCTGTGTTTCAGTGCACCCTGAATTTTGTGTTCTTACAGCCATCTGAAAGAGTCTGACATGATTTTTCACCCTGCAATTATAGGTATTTTGCAATGTTTACATTGGGGAACATGGTAAATATTTCCAAAGGCAAGAGAGTCAACAGGGTACCAGCCTCCCCTGCCTGTCTCAAAAAGGAGCTTGAGCAGAATCCCAGAAACCATGCACTCAGTGTTGTCCAGAAGAGCTTCCTCTGTACCATGATGGGCTGTATTGCAGCTTAAAAGTAAGGCTCTGTGGATGCTGGTAGAGAACTGCTGAAGAGCTGGAGTCATCCTTAGCAATTACTTTGAACTGCCATGTTGAGTCTATTTGCAGCTGTATCTCCTTTCAACGTGAGGATATAAACTAGTAGCTTCTGGGCTTCTTGAAGTTTCAAAATCATTATAATGGCAATAGAATTGTTCTGGCTTGCTTGATTTTGACCATTCTTTTTGCTTTCTACTTGATGGTTTACCTTCCTTCTTTACTGAGACTAGATGATGTTAATGCTCGAATTGTAATGCCCACCCTGTTCTTTATGTCTGTATTGTCTAATTCATTGTACATTCTTTTTCTCTTTCATTTTGCTTTCTTATTCACAACAGAGTGTTAATTGCATCCAGTCACTCCGATGTTCAACAGTTAGAGAGGTAAGGCATACAGGCAGATCTGATACCGTCTGCAGTTCCCAGCTGGGACCTGATTGTACCATTCCTAGTCAGCTTGAAGGCTATCATAATCCGTGGGAACATTCTCTGTTCATTCATTCATGTGAACAGAGCACTGAAATAGGCTGCCCTGAGTTGTTGTTGAGTCTCTATCTCTGGAGGTATTTAAAACCCACTTGGACTCTTCTTCTGTGGAACCTATCTTTGGAAACATACTTTCGTAGGAGTTTGGACTCAATGATCTTCAGTGGTCCCTTCCAACCCCTATGATTCTCTTGGTCTACGATCCTGTGATATCTGTGCAGCTTCTTCTGGAATCACATGCTATCTGAAAAAAAAACAACAGCGGGAGACCTGGCCAGAAGAATGTTTCATTTCCTCATCTGAATTTACAATTTCTGAGACTTTTGGTGTCTTTTCCTTTTTGTTATTTTGAATTCCAACAAGGTATTGATAAATGCACCGTTTCAGTAAATTTTCTCTTTCACATACCCTGTTCTTTTGTGTCTGTCATTATCTTTTCACCTGTTTCAGGCCTTAGTAACCAGTCTGTCAGTTGCCTGAGAGCACTGATAGGTCTTTATTATTGTGAGTGGCTTCACTGAAGATCTCCAACCTACAACATCTTCCCAGGAATCCGAATGAAGTTCATACTTGGGAATTCAGTCCATCATATCCACTCACAGCAACTCTAGGACAATGCACTCAGCCCTACCTCTTCTTGGCTGCTGTTCTTCCCCTTGTCCCTCCTGTTTGTGTCTCTAATCCATTTTCTTTCATTCGGATGACTCAAAGGACTCAGTGGTCAAGATTTGTCCAGCTGGAAGTTCAGGAGCCATTGCTCAGAGCAGTGCAATGTTGAGGCTCGCTGTTTCTGAAGTTGCTGCCTCTTTTTTCTCTTAAGAAATCTTTCTGTATCCTACTGAAAGGATTCCATAATAAAATTATTGAAGTGCAAGCTGGTGAGGTAAGGTGGGGAATGTAGTAGCTACAGAGCATGTTGAGCTCTCAAAATTTTTCTGTTAATTGGAGAAAACCAACGTTCTGTATCTTTCCATTTGCAAAGCACAGGAAAGGACTGATCTTTGTATGTGTTGGTGTTGATTCCATGGACTGGTAAGTGAAAGAGAAGTTGATAAGAACTATTTAGTTAATTAAGTTATAGAACACGGTGCTTCTGTAAAAATTTTCACAGTTCTTTTGATCTGTGGCTCAGCACTCAGACACAGCTTGGAGAATTCAAGCCTTGAGTTTGCCATCTAAAGTAAATTTTCAGTCAGAGAACGTTAGATGTTTTTTTCTTGGCATTTACAAATTGAACTTCATACAGTGAATTATAACTTACTGTTTCTTATCGCGATATCGTTACTAAGACAAACATTAATGTGGCTTTGTGATACTAGAAGGCTTGTGTAGGCAGGGTTCTTTGGCTTTTGCTATCAACGTGGAACTATTGATTCATGAACATAAATCCTTACTTATCTCCAGTCAACTTTATAGCACAATGAAATTATAGGGTTGCTTGAATCAATCAATGTTTCTAAAGCAAGCTATAGAAATATAAACAAGTTACTGATTATTTAATAATGCCAATTTGCTTAGAAATGCCTGGCCTTGGGCAGCAGATGTTGCATTAATTTCTGCTTTCTCTGGAATTTCACTGGGGCTTCAAGACCTTAATGTCACTATTAGCAAAGGTAACTTTATTTTAGAAACTCATTCTGAGCCTCACAGCAAGAGGAAGAAACTGATGTTCCTTTTGACCACAAAATCTGTGCTATTTCTAAGTGGAGTTCTTTGAAATAAATAGGATATCTCACAGCTTGTTTCTTTAGAGGGGACTTAGTGCAGTGGTACTACATTTGGTTAGCATAATGAGGTTTTTTAGCCCCTGTGATATTGATTGATTTTGAAGTACCAAAATTTTTAGTTGTCTAAGATTAATTCTGTAGGTGAAGTGCAAGTTTGCATTTCAGCCTTCCTGGAATTTTAGGCTAGGTGCCCCTCTTCTGAGAAGCAGTTATGTTAATATAGCCAGGTTCTGACTTAGGGAAACAATTTAAGTATAAAAATATATCTTTGTTTCTCAGTAGGAAGTCTCATGAAAGCAGCTTCCTCAATGTGGTTTCATGGTTGCAGTGTACGCCCTTTGGAGATCCAGTTCATTGGAGTGATTTTATTTAGGGTGGTTCAAGAATATTCCACGAGTCCATGGTGTCCTTTCAGTGCTCCTGGACGTTTGGAATTCAGAGTAGGATCTTTTGATCTGGGCTCTGATGCCTCAGTGGTCTATCTTTGGAGTAGTTTGTTGTAGCTTATCGTGCAGGGGGTTAAGACCACCTGATTAATCTGCTTGGCCAATCTCCTTACACAGGGATAGTAATAATGGAGTCATAGAAGGCAGCTGTAAATCCCTCTGCTGTAATACATTAATATTCCCAGGACTTCGGCTATTAAAGTTGTTTTAAACATATGTATTAAAAGAAAAAAAAAAAAGCTTCTGAGAACTGTGCCTTTGATCTTTTTGATTGATCTACTTTAAAGATGTTAATAATTCATTTTTGCTTTGGAAAGGTTTTTGTCTTTAAGATAAATTAATGTTATATACATACACAGTTTTGTACATGGGCTTTGTTAAAGCTTACATGTAAACTAGTCTCCGATTAATCTCATGTTTTTTAAGCTGTTCTGTGGTATTTCATTTGCAGTAATTTGTGGCTAAGCTGCCTGTATAACACAATTTCCTTGATCTAAAGACTGTGCTACAAATTTCTATAGAGAGGAACTGCTATAAAATTAAAACTTAACACCTCTCTAGACTTCCTTCATCTATGGTGAAGTTGATATGGCTCGGCCTTAATTAGGTTATTATAGACCTAAAATGTATGAGGTAGCATAGCATGAGAGAAGTTGATTTTGGTCATTAACAAGAGTTCTTGGTTAGTCAGGCTGGTTAGTCATTAGCCTCTGAAATACATGAGAGTACATTTTCCATTCAGTATGCTTTGAAGACTGGTCAAAATCCTTAATGTGATTTAGGTCTACTGAGAATGTCTTTAACCCTGCTTTTTAATAAGCTCTGTATTTCATGTCTGAGAGATACTTGTTTATGTCTGGCATTGCTGAGGCTCACTGCCACACCTGTATTAATTTTGAAGTTGAAACACATTGTTTTGCAGGAGTGTTTACAAAAAAAAAAAATTCTTGGAATTAGAGCAGACAGGAATCTAATGTATGAACATTTCCTGGAAAACCCGGATAGCCTTTTTTTCTGTTTTAGTTGAGGAACACTTCAACTGCTTATACTCTGAATGTAGTGTAGTAATGTACTTCCCTTTTTAATATTTCCTGCTGCAAACATGCATATATGCTAAAGTTCAGTCCTACTTCTGTCTTGTAGATCTGGCTTTTGCTGGGACCTCCAAGTCTGCAGCAATGTCAACGCTAAGGGAGGAGGGATGAGGTGGATATCCTGAGTGTGAGTTTGTGTTGGATGAGGTGGAGATCTGTGGCTTTTCATTGCCGCGGGAGAGAAGAGCTTGGATGGCACCTCATCGAGGAACTGTGAACTTTGGTAGATGCTGTCCTGGGAGAAGCCTTGTGAAGGCAAGCACAGTTAGCGCTGCTGATTTATAAGAGATGAGCAGGAAAAGGCCTCTGCTGCTTCAGCTGCTTCCTTCATCAGGTGATTAGTGAGGACTTCGTATCTGTCTCCATAGTTCTTACGTGTCCTTATAATCAGCCTGAGCAACGTATCTCCATATAAACAACAGAGAGGTTGGTGATAAATATGTCTGCTATTAATTAGCTATTAAGAATGTTTTTTCTCATGTAAATGGCCTGTTAGTAAAGAAAGGATGCTGAAAGCAAGGCTGAAGAATAATTTGTTTTTGTTGCTGTCTGCATCCCTCCTGATTCCTTTCCCCTGCCCCACAAAGTGTGATGGATTTCTATGACTCTTCATGAAGCTGAAGTACTAAACTCTGGGACAGCACTTAAGTGTGTTCCAGGTGAGTTTTGGAAATAATGCTGCCTGCTGCTCTTTTTAGTGGCTGGAGGTGCCAAGTTAAAATCCTCTAGTAAGAAACAGGTGCTGAGGATTAAAAACCAAAGCAAAAATAAAACTCCAACATCAACAGCAGAAAATGATGGTTGTTGTTGTTGGGAGCTTAATTATGTGTTCTCTTCCAAATTGGATGCTGATGTGAGAGCCTATTTTCTATTATAATGTGTGTGTTTAAGAACTGTTCATCCCAACTACCTCCCAGTGTGACTGGGAAAAGGCTCCAGTGTACTTCTTAAAAAATAAGCAAGATCTGTATTTGACTCTGTGTTTGCTGAACTTAATAGAACTTGTGCCACTGTCTTGAACAGGAAGGTATTAATACTCCACATGCAGATAAATCACAGAATCATAGAATCATAAAGGTTGGAAAAGACTTTTAAGATCATCTAGCCCAACCTTCCACCTCCCACCAGTGTTGCCTGCTTAACTATGTTCCTTTGTACCATGTGACCTTTAATTAAAAAGCCAAGAGAATTAATGCACATTGAAGCAGGAATGTTATTTTTTTTACTTTCTATATTTGTGGTAGGTTTTGTTTTGTTTCTTTTTAAAAAGTATTTAATATTAATATTGATATTTTAAAAATATTTTTTGTTTTAATTATTTTCTTCCTTAAAGTGGGGTTGGCTTGTGCCCGCTAATTCCTTACATCACTGGTCTTGTGTTTCGTTGCAATTGTTCTTGGAGAACTTGGCAGCTGCAAGCTAGCAGAGCTATTGTTGACCCTGAACAGCAATAGCAACATTAATACAATAAGAAAAGTTTTCTGTGATCTACTGTGCTGTCCTGTGGAGCCAATGAGCTGGTTAACACCTTTTACTTATTCTGCAAGGATCTGAGGCTGGAAGGGAATTAATGCAGTTGTGAAGCACGGAGAACAAAAATAGCAGTGATTCAGTTAGAGTAGAGCCAAATCTTCTTAAAATTAAACTCCATTGTGTTAGAGACTTTACTTTTTTGATACCTATATTATTAACTTCTCTGGTAAGAGCAGGAAATGTAATACAGTGATATTGGAGGAGCCTCGCACATTAAATCTAAGCTATTATCTTGAGGTTGTATGAGAAGAAACAACTCTTCATCCGGTGTGTTGTGGGAATCAAACGTTGCAGACTGCCTCTTTCTCACTGAGTTTTATGGTTAGTTTTAGTTCCCTTAACTTTCAGTACATTATGAGAAGGCTGCTGTGCATATATGTGTATTTGTAGTTTCGTAAGTTACAAACGATACTGCATAGTTTCTGGGAATTTTATCACGGGCAAGTGTTTACCTGTACGTTGCAGCTGCTCATGTTGTAATCTGCAATATTTTTTGATACTGGTGTTTAGCAACTTTGTATGTAACAGGTTAATGGTCTCCTCATACAGACATGTTTCAAGGCTTACTTTCTGGTTTATCTTTCTCACTGGACCAGATCAAATTTTTGAAATAGGATTAAGGTTTGCAGAGAGAAAACTGTGGAGGAGAGCTGAGGAATTCACGTGCTCGGGCAACTCATTTCCTGAAGTGCAGTCAGACTGTGTTCAGGTTGTGTGACAGCTTGACTGTGCCACGGTGCAGAAACACAAAGGAGCACATGCTTCTATTAATGTTAACCCCAGTACCAGAGATTCTCTGGCTACATACTGATACTGTGGCAAATAGTACCTCCAGAGGAGGCACTGCATTGAGCCTGGAAAATTTGCTGTGATACCTGTGGACCTGAGATGGTCCAACCTAACGGTGCTACCTATGCAGCGACTGGTGCAAGCAACTCTAACTTACCCAGGTGCTACAGTTGTTTTTTTCTGCTCATTAGTTTCTCTTTCTATGTATGTCTTCTAGTAGTCGCATTAGAAGAGTTTTCCCCTAATTCCTCCTTTTAGCTTAGGTAATTTCAACTCTACTGTGTTTAAAGTATAACCAATTTGGAGATCAGTGCCAGTGAAGTTTTCTGTTGCAGAAATGCTCTGGTTTTATTACTTCACAGAACACTGCTGTTTGCATGCTAAGACACGGATGATGGGTGGTCATGTATTCTTCCTCCATGATCTGTACCAGAGTCAGGCTCTCCTTCCCTCCTTTTTCCCACATTTTCCCCAGTCTCCCACACTTGTTGTCTAGAAACCCATTTGACCGCACTGATGTCTTAAGCAGTTGATATGTAAATATTTACTGACGTGACAGTCAGCAAAAGGAGAGGGGGAATTTCTACATCCTACCATTTGGTAAACCTTCAAGTTCTCTCTCTGAGTGTGCAGTCCATAAGAACAGGAAAGGTTTGCAGTTCATACTTGACTCGATGTATTTTTGCTCTCTTGGTTCCTGTTTTTGTTGCAGATGTCATTCAAATAGCTGTGGGAGGTTTATCAGCTCTTGAGGAGACTTTCCCTTGTGTGCATGCTTGCACCACTGAAGGCCGGCACTGTGCTGGAGGAAAATGGAGCTCTCTGATCTCCTGGCATTTGCCTCTGCAGAAGTGAACAGTACAACAGTCACCCTGGCTTTACTGGCGGTATTTGTGGTTCTTCTGTACTGGTAAGTGGTAAAGGCAAAAGGGGCCTGCTGAAGTTCTCCCAACATCTACAGAGACTTCCTATTTTTAAGGTGCAACTGGAAGATGGCTGGCTGGAAGGGGTGCAAAAGGCATGCTGGTTTGGGTGTGGAGGTTGAAATACAAACTTACAAAACTCACATTGCTTTTTACAGAGTTCTGTCCTTGCAAGACTTTCTTTTGAGTGCTTTACCAACAAATGCTCACTGAAATTGTCATAAAAATTGAGGACTTAATTACTGTTGGTTTCTTATTAATTTCTCTAGGCTGCAGGAGCACTGATGCTGATCACGAAGAAACTGAGCTCTTGTCACAGGGTGTTGTTGGACCCTTCTTTGTACTATGTTGCACACTTGACCTTTGCCAGGTTTCTTGGTTTAAATTTACAGACACTTTGACTGTTGCTTGAACTTCTTCTCTTGTTCTTTCCACACTGAGTAATGGACACAAACCAGAATAACAGCAATTCTAATGTTAAGTGCAGTAGGCATAACAATGAGCTATGCTGAGATGAAGGGAAGAAGTACCTAACACGACCCAGTCCAGATAATCTGTTTTGGAAATTAAAGTAGCTGATCTGGGAATGCTGTTCTGACTCTTTTCACTAGATACCTCAAACCCTGCTTTTTAGTCACGTGTTTTCTCATTCCTATGTGAATTCAAGAAATAGTTTCAGAAACAGTGAAGGAAGAAGAACTTCAGAAGAAAATCCCAAACTGATCTAGGAAAGAATAATGATGACATCATGATTTCAGCACAATTGTTCTAGTAGTGTAAATGATGGATCACTTCTGTACACATTTCTTGATTCTTTAATCCTATCAAACTTTGCTCCGCTTCCATATCAAGGGAGAGTCTAGAGAGACTGAGAAGAGCCAAATCAATTCCCTCTTTGATGTGCATTGCCATCTCAGGTAGGTGAGCAAGCCAGTTTTCTTTCTAAAATCTGCACAAATCATCACAAAGGTCCAAGTCCCACTGCCTTTGAATTTTAGTTGGAAAAACAGTGGCAACACTAGATCTTTTGGTAAATCCATGCTGTTTAGCTGCTGACCCATAGATCTGCATGAGCTCAAACAGGAGGAGAGAGGCCAGAGGGAGAGCCATGGTTCTCAAATGCAGCACAAGGTCTGGTGAGCTCTGGCAGCCTGTGAGATGGCTAGAAGAGCCTGGTGCTTCCATGCTTTAAATGGAAGGTCAAGGTGTGCTGAGGGCTGTGAAGGCACAGAAGTGCTCTGTACAAATGTACTGTGTTCTGATCCATGCTTCTCCAGAGCCTTGCTTTGTGCTTCATTTTAAGAAAGACTCTTATAAGAAAGGCCCTCCTGTAGAAAGGAAGGCATGGAAGCTCTGTGCTGAATTCTGTCTCAACATAAATGAAACAGATTGCTCTGATGGAGGTGATGGATGCCCCGTCCTTGCAAACGTCCATGCAAGGTCAGGCTGGAGCGGGCTCTACAGAACCTGATCTAGCTGTGGATGTCCCTGCTCATTGCAAGGGAGTTGGTCTGGGTGGCCTTTAAGGGTCCTTTCCAACTCAACAATTCCATGATTCTATAAATAAACTTGGATCTAAAGGCAGACTAAATGCAAGCTTGTACCAGGCTCCTAGCCGTGAGAAGTCAACTGTCATACAAGCTTCATAAAGTCTAATTAGGGGTGAGGTGGGAAATTGCCCTAGAGTAGGGATACACCATTCCTTGTTTCTCTTTTCCTGGCTGAAGATGAACCCTGTGAAGGTGCTGTGTAAAGGAAACTGGAGTTTTATGAAGGGAAGTGTTTTATGCCCTAACCTGTCACTGATCCTATTGATCTGCAGATGCAAGTTGATTTTAGGGTAGTTTATTAAATACAGCTGCCTTTAGGTCACTCTTCCAAGGAGGAGCTGGTGCTGTTTCTGAAACTTGCAATTAAACATGTTGGGCAATGTACACGAGCTATTGGTAAGCTTGCTGAGTTGACTAAGCTATTTGGATCCATTTATTTCAGTAAAATGCAGTGAGTGAAGACATAAGTCTTGAAGCACATCTACATGAATGGTGTTTATTTTTCAGACTTTCAGACAGTTTATTTTTTATAAAAGTTTTTTTTTTTTTCCCATATCAAAGCTCCATTTAAGTGAATGAGTGAAAAACAACTCATGCTCGCAGCCTACTTCATTCACAGTTGAGACTGTGGATTCAAGGAATTACTTAAAGAGTACGTAAAAGATTGCTAATAAAATGCTGGTCCCTAATTCTAGAGAATGTCTTTTTTTTTTATTACAACCATGTTGCACGTGGAGTTGTGTGGTTCTTCTAGGAGTTAGAAAGCACAGATTTAATCTGTGATGGTAGTATTAATAACGTAATAACTACTCAAGTTTTTTTGATGTTTCCATTCTAAGCCTTACTCTCATTTTTTAATAACCTCTGAATACCTCTTTTCTGGGGGAGGCTTTTTTATTCTGCCAACGTTGTAGCTTTTCAGGATGGCAGTCATAGGAGAAGGGAAGTATTAATGTTTGCTGTTGTAAGTTTGGGGATGCTGGTAGCTTCTGTTTGATCGGGATTGTAGCGTGTCAAGTATTCTGTGAATACAAAGACTAGGCAGTTTGTCCACTTTTCTTTTGCTTTAAAAGGCTTACAGGCTAAACAAAATGCAGTTGTAGGTTGAAAAAAGAGATGATAGACCTAACGTACACTAGAATTGTAACATGGTGATGTCAACTGCTGTGTTATTGAGCTATTTCCTTAGCAAGAATTTTGTGAATGGCGTTACTTGGAGGTTTAAATGCCGCCCCTGAGTTGCTGCCCATCAGCTAAGCCTCTGTAGCTGTTAGTGTGTGCATTGTAAGGCCAGCTGTGATTTATCACAGTTCAGCTGACAGGTGGTATCTTGCTAAATTGTGATAAGACCAATTTCTTCACATTTCTGGATAAGGTGAGGTCATATGAAATGGGGAGAGAAGTAGGGGTTGGTTGGGAAAGGTAGGAGCTGCTTAAAAATAAACAGATACAGGTCCTAAGAGGAAACTTGGATGACTTGGCCATTATTTAGGCTGCCTCTTACAGTACAATCAGGAACGCCAGTAATTCTGTGTAGAACACTGTCTAACAGCACACCTGATTTCTCTTATGTTTTTATTAATGTAATATGAGGATGATGCTGATAATGTGTCTTGTCAACCTTAATTCAGAGCCTATAATCTCTGTTTATCCTCCACATGACCTTAAAAAGCCTCTTCCTATAGCAGATTCAAGTCAGCTCATCTAATGTTGAGAGTACAGAGTATCTCTTGGGTACACAGTCTCTTCAGATTTGGAATGGGGTGAACAAACCTGAAGCTGCTTTTTTTCTGTCTTCTATTAATATAAGCTGCTCAGGTCTGCCTGCTCACTTCTACTCCTATGGGGTTTACTTGTCTGCTCCTTCCCCATCTTTAGCACTTGCTATCAGTAGGTCCAAGTCTCTTCCCCTGGACCTCATACCATGGATTCTTCAATGGCTGCTGCTACCTCCTTATTATTGTGATAGACAGTGAAAATACTGCTTTAGTGACAATAAAAAAAGCCAACACTATATGGCAAGTACATATCAGAGGTACAACACTGAGCACTCTTTAAAAAAAATAAAAAATCTCATGTCTGTGTTGCTTCCACCCTCTGTGATTTCTACTAGCCAAGCTGATTATCAGAGCAGTTTCTTCTAAGAGCACTTTCTTCCTCAATTCCAGGGGCTGCTGTCTCTGTTTGCTTAATCTCTGTGAAACTCAGGGTTCTTTTCCGGGCATGAAATAAAAACAAACACTTAAGGGAGGAATGAGGTTAACATTTACAAATCCCAGTGATATTCTCGACTGAAAAGTGTATCTTTACAACATATTGTTCATTTTCATTTCAAAGATCTCCCGAGCAGGGTATCCCGTGCTTGGTTGTAGCTGCAAACATCGCTTTGTCTCTTTTTGCTGCCTGGGAAGATATTTGATAAAATGAAAGCAGGAGTTTATTTTGCTTTAAAGTTTAATGTACCATAAACTTAGCATTATGAAGAAGCTGTCACAGCATTCAGATACCTGTGTTCAAACTAGATTATCAACCCCTTGTCTAAACAAACCTGTTTTTTTTTTTCAAAACTTGGAGGTTGGATGAGAGGTGTTTGTTTATGTTTGTGAGATCCATGTTTAATTACATGCTTTCAAGCATAGCAAAATATATACTGGTAATGTCCTTGTCTGTTTCTGAAAAGCTAAATTGTTCATAAAGATGTCATTTTTACATTAATTCAGTGCTATGATCACTTATGTTACAGAAATATGTAGACAGAATGAGAAATTTGGGTTTCCCTGGATCAAGGCACTGTTCCTGCATTGCATAACATGTCAGTTCTGACACAGAGTATTTGCTGTCTCTGATGACCACAAATGAAAACGAAGTCTATTTTTTTCTTAATTCCTTTCCTTATGCTCAGATGTTTGCATGCACTTAGATGCAGGGGTTGCTTATACATGGGGACAATGTGTTAAGAGTTCATTAGTAGATAAGATGTCTGTAGTAGACCTCTTTCTAAGTTAATTTCAGGATAGAGGTTTTTTGATACTGGTGACTACAATACTATTGCTTTTTTGGCATTGCTTCACATCTGTGGTTTTGGGAAGCAGTATGAAAGAGAAAGCTTATGAATGCCTGTCCCAAACAAAAACTTTGCTCTGATTTTGCAAAAAGTTGCTGCTTTTGGGACTTGAATTATGCAAAACTGAGATAAAATACTTTTTTTTTTTTTTAAAACAAGATGCCACCTGGAACAAGATCTCACACAATTTCTTCTTCTTAAACATTTCAGTATTTGAAAAGATGCTTGATCACTGGAGCTCTGTGCTTATGAATTGAGTGCAGATATAGGGTGAGCAGATTATTCTCTCTAAAACATGCAGATAAGGCTTCTGGGAAGATCCCGTATAAGATCCTTTCTGAAAGAAGTGCCAGTTGTGAACATGTATGCCCAA